TACCTACTGGAAATACTGGTTGTAGTTAAAACCCAACTCTCCTAAGCACTAAGGGAAGATGAGGCTCTGTACTTGTGTTGCTAAAGTCTTCCTGCTCTGTGATGGGATGCTCATTCACTCTGGAAACTCAGTACTCCGTCAGATGCAACAGAGCATCACTGAGCACAAACATAGGAAAGTTTAGGTCACCAAGCTCTTGTGGAGAATGGAACCACGTCAGCAGCTGATTTAAACAAGTTAAAATAATCTGTTCCTGACCATCTGTAGGACCTTTATCTACTCTTCTGCTTTTATATATGTGCCTCATCTTCAGCAAAATGATCTAGCTGTTTTCAAGTGCAGGCAATTGCTAAAGAGACTCAAGTTTACTATTTTCTGTGTCTACAAAAGGGGACCAATAGTAAAGGTGTCAAAGAGTGCTGATGAAGACAAGTTTTTGAGCAAGAACAAGGCCTGGATGAAAAACTGTTGAAAGTCTTCGTGAAACATACTGTCTGGGTGATCAACTGGTAAATGGACTTTAACCTGGAACTACAATGATGTACACAAGAAAAATAATCTTAAACAGTAAAAAAAATACAAAGTAATGTAATCTCAGATGACTGCTACCAATGTGGGAAGAGAGCTCAGGGTCAAACCAAGTAATCCTACACAAACACTACCTTCAGTGCTCAGTAACAGTCAAATAATCAAATTGAAAAACATTTTTATGCCACTAGATGAACCTTTGGTGTGTCTGCAACATTTGATACAAGCCATGGTTCTGCTCCTCCCTTCCATTTCTCAAAAAATATACCTAAAAATATACAGATATAAATAAAGAGGATGACCAAAGGTTATAGAGAAATAACTAACTACACTAGGACTCAACAGGCTGGAAAAGATACAACTAAGGCTGAGTATACTAAAAGTCCGTAAAAACAGAGAGGGTGAACAGTGATTTAGTTTTTTTTTTTTTTTCTTTTTTTTTTTTTTTTTTGATATAAGGAGTAGGGACATTATTTGAAACAAATGAAAAATGAAAACACAGAAATAATGGAGGTGGCTCTTCCAACAGACAAGTTTATGACAAGTTGGGCATACAGATCAAGTTATACAACCTTGGAAGTTATACAAGTCTCAGGGCTTTACTGAAAATGTGTACTCTCTTTTAAAAATACTAGAATTTAGAAACCTGCAAATTTTTAAGTAGGAAACATGACAGACATGGTGGGCAGTGCTACAGTAGTAAATCCATTTTGAAGGTGGAACGCTTCTAGTTTTGTGTTCATTCCCTTCCTTCAGAATCTCTCAGTCTATGATAAATCAGTACTATAAACCAGCAAGGTGTTAGATGTTAATTGATGTGTGTTTTGCAGTGAAATATAACCCTAGCAAAATCTTTGCCTCGGCCTCCTTTTTCACTTACTTCAATTGCTGTGGCTGTTTTGACATTGCCCTGCCCTTCATCTGTTCTCCAGCTAGAGCCTTCTTGTTCAGTACTCACCTGCTGACAGATGAAAGCAGGTAAGATCCTCAGTTCCCATGTGGTCTGCCATCATCCTGTGCTTCTGCATAAGCAACGCACTCTTTGGGAGAAGAGCTGGCTGGGTGGTAACCCACCATCGTTCTCAGGAGCAAATGGCCCAAGCTTTCAACTACCACCCCTTGTTTTGCAGGTAACAGAGGCACAGTGACTGTCTGCATACTGTTTTGTGAAATCTCATCTTGCACAGAACACTTGCCCAGTTTGCTGAGGTTTGAAGGGAAAGTAGAGTTAAATAAAACAAACTTGAAAAATGATTGTGTTTTTGCAAGTGTAGGAATTCTTACCCTTATGATGAAGGTATCCATATTCTATGGCCATCCTCTCAAAGCGTCTTTTCACAGTACATAATGTCAAAAATAATAAATCACAGAAAGAATCACTACACAAGGAAAATATCTGAATCATATGTAGCCTCCCCACTCATTGAATTGCAGTGTTTTGTCTATAAATACAAAAGTGTCTACTCTGCATCTGTTGCAATGACATACTGTCTCCAATTACTATTTCTAGCAGAGAAAGAAATTGTGAGTTATTAGCTTTCTTCCCTAATGTCTGGTTCTACTTATCCAAAAGAAAGGTGATATATTTTGCTGCTTTGCTACATCTACCAGTCAGCAAAAAGCTCCTCAAAGATTCAAACATTATCATTGTTTTTCGGGCAAAAGAGGATTAATAGCACTACGAAGTATTGCTCCTGGAGACACAACTGAACTCTTTATTCACCTACTTTTGAGAGCACAAGCATCTCCAGAGCATGGACTTGTTTTGGGTAAAAAACCATCAGCTCATGCTGTATTCTGAACAGACCCCAACTGCAAATCAAACAAACTGACAAAACCGAACTGTCTCAAGTGCCAGTTCAGCCTTTTTTTTTTTTTTTTTTTGGTCTTAAGGACTATTAATAATACCAAGGTGAGTTTCTTCACCTTAAAAACCCAACCAAACAACAACAAAAAAACCCTCAAAACCATAAAAACCCCCCAAACGAACACTATAACATTTGGTAGTGTATCTTGGTCACTCCCAGAGCCTCAGATGTTATTCCACCACACAGAAGATACTACAAGGCTGGACTGGGATACACATATCCTTGTTATGTGACTCTTTCACTTTTTTTTTTCCCCCTCAATTTTATTTTATTTGGAACATACACTAATACAGGCCGATCATTTTGGATGTATATACTAAAACTGTTCCTTATAGATAAAAGTTTTGAATACAGAATAAATCAGGAGTAGTCCTGGCTGCAAGGGAAACATTCATCATGGATTTGTAATGCCAGCAAAACAGAAAATGGACAGGAGATCAGTAACACTCATTAGCGCTTTATCTACAGCTCAGCTCTAAAGTGACACTAAACACAAACTTTTCATGATCCTGAATGAGAATGGTCAGAAAATCTAGCACTGAACTTACTGACCTGAGAACAAAACATGCAGACAGACCAAAAAGCCCCATTGTGTACAGAAATACCTTCTACAGAATAATCCAATTCTTGCTGGAGGTATGCCTTGTGGGTTGCCTGCATCTACTGACTTCCAGTTACATTACCTTTTTTAAGTTTTTCCTTTCTTTTGTCTGCAATCCCAATATACTTTGCTTTACTAGTCTAGGGCTCTTGGGACTGCTAGCATAAGAGAACAGAATTAAGGCAATATACCTGAATGATATAAATTTGAATTTGATATGTATGTCAGATACACGGATGAGATAACCTTCCTTAAAACGCTGAAGGACAGCCAGGACCAGCAAGTACAAAAAAAAAGATAACAATCTGAAGAATTAAAGCATTGTTAAAAATCTTGTTAAGAATCCTACATAAGGTGGAAGTAAGGCTAACATCTGAACAATTTTCACAGTCAGTAAAAGCTGATAAAAGAAAGCAGATCCCAAGTCAAAGACGATGCTAATAATGAGTCAGCTTTGGTTCCACAAATGTCATCAGCAGTTTCTAAACCCTGAAGTCTAGGAAAGAACTCAGTAATAACAAATCTGTAATGAAATAGCTACTTCAAGCTTTTAACCCACTCTTCTTCCTTCTTTATAATTTACGCTGACATTTAGGAAAAAGGATTTTAGAAACTACTGTCTCAATAATAGTCAACTTGTTACTATACTGCATAATGAAGGGGCTGGCTATCCAAAATAGCAGAATGCTCAGGTAAGAGTGTTATTACTGAAGCACAGAGCAACCACACCTGAACCGGATCCCTCTGTGGCCAAATTTTGGCTGAATATTACCAGTGTTAATGGCATCCATCACCAGTGTCAATACTGTAGATATGGTACAGACAGCTAAATCACCTATGAACTGCAGTCGCTGCACTAGAATTATTGTTGTGTTCTTCTTTTGGGTTTTGTTTTGAGGAGGGAAGGTTATGGGGAACCCAACACCTACAAGAAGGTTATCAAGATGGGGCCAGGCTCTTCACAGAGTACATGGTGGGAGGATGAGGGACAACTGCAAGAAGCTGAAATGGGACAGGTTCAAACAAAAGGACACAAATAAAAAGCTCTTCAACATGGGGACAGCCAAGCAGTGGGACGTCCACCCTTGGAGGTTTTCAAGCCCCAGCTGAATACAGCCCTAAGGAACCTGCTCCAACAATAAAGGAACCCTACCTTGAGGAGGAGGTTAAGACTACATTACCTGTAAAGATTGCCTCCAACCTGTGTTATCCTACGGATCCTATTGTGTGTAACGTTTCTGTACATTATTACATCAAAACTAGATCTGAACACAAGATTAGGCAAAAGATTTACAGATTAACATCACATTCCTATAAACACATGGAAACATCAAAACCTTCTGGTAATGCAGCATAATAAACAGACAGTCCCCTGGTTAAAAAAAAAACTCAGGAAACAATCAAATACTTTGCCTCATTAAGACAGAAAGGCATTGGGAAATAAACACACCTATGCAATTTTTCAGAACTCAGGAAAAATATAAGTAAAATACTTTGAAAGTGCGTTCACAAAAGGTATCAACAAATGATTAGGATTTGAGATGGGACTTCCCAAATTGCAGACAAAAATACCTCAAAGACTAGAACTGTCTGCAAGCACAGAAAAGTTCAGCTTGTCCTTATGAATTAACACACTAAGGAGAGACAGGAATTTCAGAAAAAGTGGCTGAAGAAAGAACATATTTATCTGTCTAAAAGGAGGAAAAAAGAGACTACAATAAATGCAAAACATTTTACTTATTGCAAACAAAAGCTGTGGTAACAACATTGCACAATACCAAATTTCAAGGTGTTGAAATTCTCAGAAATTTCTCTTTGTTGTGATTTTTTTTCTCCATATATCTTTATATTTTTACATCAGTTTTACATTATGACAAGAGCAAATTGCTTACAGAAATTAAGACAAATTGTGTATAACCTGCCAGCTTACTAATGTTTCATTTATGTGTCACAGAGTCACAGAGTGTAATCATTTAACACTTTTCTCTGGTCTGAAAAGGATTATCAGATTCAATGCTTTGCTAGTCACATAACAGAATGATACGGTCCGCACGAGTAATTTTCTTAAACGATTAGAAGTATATGGGAATTCACTGTAAGTGTGCTGTTTGTATTTTCTACAAAACATAGGCAATAACTACCTTTGTTACTTCACTGGAACAACAATTTCTCCCTTTTGTGCAAGATCTCCAGCAAAAAGGCAGACAAATGTGTAAATCAAACATTTTTAGATCCAATGCTGAATAGCCTGGAGGGCAGTAGTAAAAGTCCTGAGTGCAGGATGAGTCCCTCGATGAGACATCAAGAGGGACCCAGCCTCTGCATTGAACCCTGCTTCTTTAAGTTGTTTTGCTATTTCCTCTACATCCCAGCCTCCTTCTCCCTGGTTAGCCAGTAAGTGCTCAATAAGGCGAGGATAGAAGGCAGTAGATACACACTTCACCACTAACTTGGCATCGAGGAGCAAGGAAAGTATTTCAGCGTCACAACTGGAATCATCAACCTACAAAGAAAGAAAAATCCAAAGTAATTAAAAAATAATTACCAGATATATCTATGAACTAGAACATGTCATGACTGTTCTAACTGCACAGTGTGACCTTGAAAGCGAGATGAGTATTCTGTATGGATTAACAACAGGGATACACACTTTGCATATGTCAGAATACGTAAAGGCATGTCTTTAGCAGTCTCTATCACGTTAATATAAATATTTGACCTGCACAAAGTTAAGGAATAAGGATGTTTAACAAGCTGTCTAGGATTACATGAACAGCTTTATAGGCTTTTCACAGGTTCTCAGCCCCAGTACAGCACAGACCACACCATTTACCTCTGTATCAAGAATGACACCCTGAGGAAGGTCAGAGCAGAGTGTATTAAATTTTGGTCACTTATTATATTAATATAATAAGTTACATTCCACATATTAATATGATAGGCAACATTTCCAGACTCAACCAGATTTCCCAGAGTTTCAGCACTCACAGCAAGGACGAGACTTTTCAGAAGAATACAACTTATATTTTAAAAGATTTGGAGCACAGAGCTGCTACCTCTGCGAGACACCCTGGATGCCTCAGAAAAATATAGTTACTTGATACATGAGAGCAGATATTCTCTTGAAAATGCTGTCTATAGCTTTACAGATAGCACTACTGAACACTTTAAATTCTATTTCAGTTAATTTTGACATGTCTTTCCTGGGTTCCTTGAAATGCAGTGTTGTTTTAATCAGCTTAGGTGTCTTACCACTTCAAGAAGTGCAATAAAACGAATGCGTTCAAAAAACGGGTAGATGTGGCACTTCGGGACATGGTTTAGTCTAGTCTACCCTTGATTGGCTTAGAGTAGACTTGGTAGTGTAGGTTAATGGTTGGACTGGATGATCTTAAAGGTCTTTTCCAACCTAAACGATTCTATGGTTCTATGATTCTATGAATACATATAACCAAAAAATAGGGCCAAAGGAGGGGTAGACAATTGTCAGTTTTCAATGACTATTTCATCAAGTTACAAATAAACTAATCAAATTACGCTACATTTACAAAACAACCTCTCAGTTTAAAATAACAAACAAACAAACAATCTCTGTCTGGTTAGCCTCTGTTTCATTTTCCGTGGAAATGATGTACTATCTTACTTACGTGGTTGGTACCAGGGTACCAGCAAGTACCAGTGATTTGGTACCCTTGAAGACCAATTCAACTGCTACACAGGACATGACTACTGTATCCCGAGAGATTTGGCACCATCACATGACAGTTGATATTAAGCAATTTCTAATCTAATTAGCATCACAAAACTTTTAATCCTGATTCTTTTCAGAACAGCATTTAAAGTTTCCTTGTGTCTCTGTTTTATTTCAAGCTAAAACAGCACAGAGCTTTGCTTCCTCATGTTCATGTGCAAAGGGCTGCATCCACTCCTTGCCGCACTGTTGTTACCATGAGCGGACTGCAACAGGCACTTCTTGCTTATAACACAATTCTCTGATCAATGAAGTTTCCACAACTATTTCTTAATAACATGTAACAGTGTCAATTTGCAGTTGCGTGTTTTTCTTTTTTTTCTTTTTTTTTTTTTTTTTCCCAGAAAGATTGAACAGAAGTATGATCTATTAGTCCAGAAAACCAAAAATACTGGTAAAAAAAAAAAAAAAAAATCTTACCTACTCAGACACATACACTGTGAAAGATCATCCACACCATTTAACATGGACCATCTACTGTGGGAGACTACTCTCTCCACTTTCCCTATACAGGTAGTCAAACCAGAAACAAGATCCTCAAAGCATAGATCAGAACAAGTACATAATTTTCTCTCGAATGCATGGAATTGCAAGACTCTCAAGGTTTTGCATCTTATTTGGAGGAATCAATATTACATTTGCATGTAAAGGAACACAGAGTTCATGAGGCACTACCAGGTAGCTCCTTGCATTGAAGTGGATGAGAAGTCTGCAACTAGCTTCAGCAGAGAGAACTTCCTTTGAAGTAACAAATTCTTTTAGAAAAAAGATCTTTATTGTATCTAAATAGTTTTAGACTAATGAATGTAAGTTTCACTTCTGTGAAAGAGCTGAAAAGTCAGCATGATGACTGAAAGCACGTATGTGATGAGCAACAGAAAAAGAATTTGTTGCTCTATTTTGGGAAAGATGCACTCTACACAACATAAAATATAATTAAAAAAGGAGAGTGAGAAAAAAAAAGAAATATTGTAGCATGAAAAGCTGTTATACCTCTTTTTACCACCTTCAATTTACCATTAACAACACAAGATCATTACTTTCAATCTTCTGTCTTCACTTTCTTTGGAACTTCAGAAACATTCCAGAAAAACAATGTCTTTATCATGTTAACCAGGAAGAGAGTTTTCTGTTTCACCTTCACGCTACTTCCTCCATTACTTCATTTAGATATGTGTGGTTTTCTTTCCATTGAAATCTTAAAAATAAACTTGATTTCCTCCAAGTCTTTCAGCATTTTCACAATTAATTACATAAACCTCTTATGGATTACAAAGCTAATGCAATAGTGTGTGCAGTTACAGGTCCAATTTACAAAACAGTTCTAAGAACAGTAGGGAAGACCAATCTTATTAAGTTGCCCACTTTAAGTCTTCAATTATTTAATAATTCATCTAAATAGTCATATGTTAATTACTGACGTTTTCCTGTTGAAGACAGGTTGATCATTAAATAAAATTCCTAGTGTTGGCATCCTGTAGCATACCACGTAGCATACTAAGCCATTATCCAAAGAACTCTCATCTTTTCTGAAATGGGAGGCTGGAAAGATATTCTGCCCCACCTCTGAGTTCCGTGTGCTCTGTTCTTGACCTAAACATAGGATGCAACTTTACACAGGGCTTCAGCATTTGATTTTGTGAATACAAAATGCAAACAGTAATTACAGTAATGAGATTAACAGCAGATGGGAGGTTTGATTTAAATTAGTTTTTTAGGCTATTATTCAGTTAATGAAAAGTCCTATAGATTAGTGTGATCCCGTATGGCAAAGCCCTACAAATTGGAGAGAGACAAGTCTGAAAGGAAAAGATCTTTTCTAGCATAAACCCATTAAACATCTGAGCTATATTATACTATGGGGATGAAGATGTCCACATGCAACACAGAAGCAGAGCAACCTGTCTGTACTCATGCATAAATGAGATCATTGTGTCTTTACACATAACAAAAGAGCAGACAAAAGGCTCTTGGCTGTGTCTGACAGCTCATCCTTAAGCTCAAACAGACCAGTAGGTTTAAGTTGATTAACATTTCCCCTCTTCTCACTTCAAGGCTGTCTGAAGACCTGGTCAGAAAGAGGAAACCTTTGTAATGTAATTGTCTCCAGGCAACTGGATGGAGACACAAGATGGCAACCAGACCCTGTGAATGCATTTCACACAGGTAAGGCCACTACCTATTCTGCAACTTTTAGTTAAATCTAAGCAGAGTCCAACAGGTGTGGGAAGAACACATAGAAGCCAAGGTTTAATGAGTAATCTGTATAAAATCAGGCAGCTGAGAAAGATTAACTATTTGTTTTCATCAGTTTTGCAACTCTAGGTCATGCCAACATTTTGGATATCAATTGCATATGAAGAAACACTCATTAGCCTAAATAAAAACAAATGCACACACAGAAATTTCTTACCAACACCTATGCAGATTGTCAATAACAGGGCTACATCTGGCTGGCAGCTGGTCACCAGCGGTGTTCCTCAGGGCTCAATTCTAGGGCCAGTTCTGTTCCATGCATTTATCAATGATCTGGATGCAGGAGTTGAATGCACCATTAGCTAGTTTGCTGATGATACCAAACTGGGAGGTGCTGTTGACTCTTTTGAGGGACAAGAGGCCTTGCAAAGGGATCTAGATAGACTGGAGCACTGGGCAATCATCAATGGGATGAAATTTAACAGGTCCAAATGCCAGATTCTGCACTTGGGATGGAGTAACACCAGGCACAAGTATAAATTGGGAGAGGAGTGGCTGGAGAGCAGCCCTGCAGAAAGGGACCTGGGGGTGCTGGTCGACAGCAGGCTTAATAGGAGTCAGCAGTGTGCCCTGGCAGCCAAGAGGGCAAACCGCATCCTGGGGTGCATCAAACACAGCATAGCCAGCCAGTCAAAAGAGGTGATTATCCCGCTGTATTTAGCGATGGTGTGGCCTCACCTGGAATACTGTGTGCAGTTCTGGGTCCCACAATTTTAAGAAGGATGTGAAGGTCCTTGAATGCATCCAGAGGAGGGCAACAAAGCTGGTGAAAGGGCTGGAAGGAGTGTCCTGTGAGGAGCGGCTAAGGACTCTGGGCTTAGTTTGGAGAAAAGGAGACTGAGGGGCGACCTCGTTGCTCTGTACAGCTTCCTGAGGAGGGGAAGTGGAGAGGGAGGTGCTGATCTCTTCTCCCTGGTATCCAGTGAGAGGACATGTGGGAATGGTTCAAAGCTGCACCAGGGGAGGTTTAGAGTGGACATTAGGAAGCATTTCTTTACTGAGAGGATGGTCAAACACTGGAACAAACTTCCTAGAGAGGTGGTCAATGCCCTAAGCCTCTCAGTGTTTAAGAGGCATTTGGACAATGCCCTTAATAACATGCTTTAACTTTTGGTCAGCTCTGAATTGGGTCAGCTCTTGGACTAGATGATCGCGCTAGGTTCCTTCCAACTGAAATAGTCTATTCTATTCTAATAAATTAATGTATATTTCAAAACCTTAATTAAGATAGTTTTATTTAAGCATCACTGCTCAGTGTATAAGCTGTAAAATTTTTAAAAATTAAATCAATTTAAATGTACCTTAAAACTATACCTATTTAAAATTAATTTTAAATTAGAACAACAAGTATTAAAGCAAAAAATTATTGAAACAATATAAAGGTAAACACACACAGCATATATTTAGAAGTAAAAATCCACCACAGAGAGTATAATATGGTGCCTGTACAAGAAATGACTCAGCAAAACTAGGACTCCCCAATCTATAAAAGAGGC